GCACCTGTCAACCTCCAGACGCACGACGGAGCGTGTCTGAGCCAATCACTTTTGTTGGCATTGATCAGCTGACTGATTTAAATACATCTACCGACTAGGTTTACTCTGAAACCACAAACACAGACGAGAAAGTGGGTCAAGTCTGTCTACAAGTCTCCATCAACAGGATTGACCTGAATTCAACCTGCTCCTCCATGTCACGTGACTCCGTCAGCTGTGAAGCCTGAGCAGGACTTCAAAACATGTCAAAGTGTGAAAAAAAGACAGAAACGGTCCACATTTTAGCTGTGGCAGGTTTCTGACAGGAAACAGGAAGTCAAACTCTTAATAAAGAGACTTTTACAGACAGGAGGACTCTATCAAACAGTCAGGCTGAGACCTCAGCGTCTGAACAAAGAAAAGACATCAAAACATCCCTGAACACAAACATCACTTAGCATTAGCCCCGCCTGTTAGCATAGCAACCACCCATCCACGTCCGGACCTGGAAACCCAACAGACTCGGCTTCTTACCTGGCTGAGTCGATATGTGTCGAAATGGTTCCCTTCCGATCCAGGCTCAGGTCTGACCCAGACAAACGAAACCAAACACAGGTCCAAACGGATCCAGGACCTTCCACCATCAGCTGACCGAGCTCGCTCACACACCGAACCGGAAACCTTTGCTTTCTTTAGAATGAGAGCGAGTTCGGTTTTATTCGAGTCCCGAGTTTGTAAATATTTACTAAGCGTGGAACGAAGCCGTGATATGTTCAGTCTGAAACGCGGAGCATCAGATCAGGTTTCAGAGTTTGTTTCCACAGGAAGAGTTGACGTCCCGTCAGCGTTCGGACCGAACGTCAGCCCCGCCGCCATGTTGGAAGGAGCAATGGAGGAAAAGCAGCCACCTGTTCTAACCAGGACCACTTACAGATCGTCTTTAATGTAACCAGGACCACTTACAGATCCTCTTTCTTCTTCTTCTTTATAGGGTTTATTGGCAGTTTGCAAAAAACTTTAGGTGTGCATTACCGCCACCAGTGGCGGCTGGTGGAATCTTCTCCAGGTGGGGCTACAACTCCAAAATTGACGTATCCCAAAAAGCAATCAAACATGTACTAAGTTGTATCACGTCAGTGTATTTATTAAACAAATGGCAATAATAAAACAACATTACAATGTCATTTCAATATGTTTTATTTTTAGTACATAAATTTTGCTCTTCTGTTACTGAGAAGCAAATTTCTTCATGACTCTGGTTAAATTCAGGGACGTTTTAACCAGATTCTCATAGAGCATGGTCAGTGCAGTGATGTGATGTTGAACCTGAGGAAAGTCTGGTTTGTCTTCAGTGTTGAGAAGGTCCTCTCAGATTCAGCTGTGGTCAGAGGAGATGTGATGAGAAGCTTCAGCAGAGTCAGTCTCTGAAGATGCAGATTGTTCTCCATGAAGCACAGCACCACTGCAGCTCCTGGTCTCATAAAAGCCTGTTCAGTGTTTAGCTTGGTCCTGTTCAGCACTGCAGCCTCCATGCAGGAACCTGTCTGCCTGCAGCTCTGATCAGATGCTTGTGAATGGCTCAAGATGATGTCACAAGCCTAAATAAATAAATAAATAAATAAATAAATAAATAAATAAATAAATAAATAAATAAATAAATAAATAAATA